ATATATATATATATATATATATATATATATATATATATATATATATATATTTGGTTTGGTTTGAACTTTCAATTTGAGCTTAATATTTATTAGTTTTTGCATCATTTACATATTAGTTGCAATATGACCAATTTACCATTACACATTTGATTATGAATATTGATTTATGAAACTAATGGCTAACCTTTCTCTTGATTGTGATCTTAGCAGCTTAAGCTATATTTATTTAAAATCAATTGGCTAAGTTTTTCAAAAATCTTGTTTAAAAACGTTTTATAGAGTATTTTTTATTTAACAAAAAAGGGGAGAATATAGTAATGAGGAGTAATTTTAAAAATTGATTTCAAAAATGATTTTCTTGAAAAATCTTAAAATTACTCAAATATTTTGTTATATCAAAAAGGGGGAGATTGTTGAAAATATTTTGATGTTTCGATATAAAAAATTAAGTTTAAATGAATTTAAGATTTTACAAATCATTTTCAAAGTATATTCGATTCAATTATTCAAATATCAAAATATTACTCCAAGTTTTTCAAAGTTCAATTTTAATCCTTACTAAGTGTAAAAATTGTATTTTATACTTAAAATATTTTTGAAATAATTTTCACAAAGTATTTTGAACCAAAATTGAGCCAAAAATCAAATTTACAAAGTGATGTATCAATGCACTACATTGATGCATCGATGCATACCCATTTCAAATGCATTTTGTGTGTCGATGCACAAGCCATGCATCGATGCACTCTTGAATATTTTGAACATCGAATGCATTTTGTGTACCGATGCACAGACCATGCATCGATGCACTCCAGGCTCATTTGAAACATCGAATATAATTAGTGTATCGATAAACTCTAATGTACCGATACACTAACTCTTATAACGGTCAAAATATTTGAATTTTACACATAGTGTACCGATGCACCTTGGCTATGCATCGATGCACACAAGCTCCCAACTATTTTTTAATTGTTTTCACACAATAACGGCTCTATTGACTCCACTAATGATCTCTAACGTTCATAAGTAATCCAAGGAGTATTTAAACAAGCTTAGGAGCCATTGATCAACAACAATTAAGAAGAGAAGCAATAGAATCAAAGAGAAAGCATCAAACCTCAAGTTTGTGCATTTCAAGCCAAATTTTCATTCAATTTTCATTTTTCTTTCAAGAACACTTATTGTTCTCAATTGTATTCATTTTTTAGTGTTCTTTCTTTGTTCTAGAATTGTGCAAACATCTTACCTTGTGAGGTTTTCTTGTAAGTTTGCAAATTTGTGTATTTCTCTTTGGGAGAGAGTGTTCTCAAGAATTTGGGGTATAACTCTTGAGGGAGTTGTAAGGTTACTCTTTGTCCTCAAAAGAAAGAACAAATCAGTGAATTTGTTGGAGAATCCTTAGTGTGGATAGCTAAGGTAGTGGACATAGACTTTGGTTGAGAAAGTCGAACCACTCTAAATCATTGTGCAATTATTTTCAATTTTCTGCAAAAGCTTCAACCAAAATTTTTATTGCCAATTCACCCCCTCTTAGCCGATTCGTCAAACGATTAACTCAACAGAACCACTTCCCTTTTACTAATGATAAGAAATGTAAACAAGAAAATATCACAAGGTAGATGTTTACAAAGATTTATCTCACAAGAAAAACAATTAAAATATATGCAATGAGCTCAAATACTTATGTACAAGAGAAAAGGGAAAATAAAGAGCGAAAGAGTTTTTCTTTTGATCTCTATTGCTTAGAAAGGTGTTGTAACATTCTTTAAGTATCATTGACTTGTTTTTATATGTATGAATGAGCTTGTGATCGTTTTTATCCGTTGGAGGAAGTTTGGAGTTGTTGGGACTTAATTAGCTATAAAATAAAACTGTCCAGCACATGGAGTATCGATACTCGAGTTTGGAGTATCGATACTTCCTTTGTTATATTTAATAATCTAGTCGTTAATGTCTATTAAGCTGACCAATATCGATACCAATGTTTTGCATTATTAGTACTACTATGTAAAGTAGTATCGATACTCCTAAAGTATCAGCACAAATTTTACATTCTGGAATTTGAACAACTTTGAAAATCATAGGTAATGTCGATACTACTCTTATCTTTGGAATCGATACTATATGAATAATATCGATACTATTCATGCAGTATTGATACTACTTACCTAGAAAAACATTTTGTGTTCAAATTATTATTTAATGAACTTTGAATTATTTTTGAAAGCTTTGAATAAATTCAATTAAATCAAAAAAAAAAATTTCCTTATTTGTTATATCAAAAATATAGTTTCTAACACATTTCTTTATTTTTTTTATTAATCATATGGTTACAAAATATGAGTTATATAACATATTCTCTAACTCATTTATCATATATATGTGTTGGCCTAGTGATAAAAATACGTTAGTTCTTCCCCTTATTATTAAGGTTTAAATCCTTTTAATCTTTTTCTTTCTTTAATTTATTTTTCATTAATTTTTATCATCTAATTAGAAGAAAATTTATCTAATTAAACATGTCATTGTATTATTGGAAGATTTAATTTAAAATTAAGATCAAATTGATAAAATGTGTAAGTAATAAAGACTAAATGTGTAAATATACAAATTTTGTTAACGGTCATGTCAACTATTCCGTCAAATATTGATGATAAATAGTTAGATAATCTGATTGATTAAATTAAAATCCACCTATAATTAAATGATCATGGATTAGTTAAAAAAATTAAATATCATGGAACTTTAATTTTCTCTCACACTTTTCCTTGGATAAAATACACAAATGATCTTCGACTATAGGATGTTGCTTTGTTAAGACTCACAATTATTAAAAGTTATAAAATGGTCCCTTAATTATAGGGCGTTGTTTTGTTGAATCCCCCACTATTAAATGTTACAAAATGGTCACCCGACTATTTATATGTTTCAAACTCGTCCTCTTCCTTTTAAAAAAAATGATGGTCGTCTGAGTTGGATGTTAACTTGCTAATTGACATATGATAAAATCATATTTTAATGATGTCTATTGACACCACCGTTGCTTTCAAACACCGACTCGAAAAAATAATGTTTCAAGCATTGGCTCAATAACATAATATAAACGGAGGGTCAATCCAAAAAATACATCTCAAACGGTTTTGAGATCATATTTTATCATATCTCAATTAACAGATTAATGTCCAGTTCAGACGACCGTCAAATTTTTAACAGAAAATGACGAGTTTGGAACATTTGAATAGTCGAGTTACTATTTTGTAACTTTTAATAATCGAAAGACTTAACAAAACAACACCTATAATTAAAGGATTATTCTATAATTTTTAATAGTCATAGGATTCAACAAAACAATTTTGATGGATTACTGTGTACTTTACCCTGATTCCATTAAAAATAAATAAAACTGAAGAACGGAGACAAAATAAAAAAAAAAAGGTAATCTATGTCAAATACCACTCACCTTTAGGCTCGGGCTCGTTTATGCCAGCAACGTTTCAATTTTACCAATTTTAACACTAACGTTTAAGTTTAACTGCAATTGTGTCACTCCGCCGTTAATGGCGTAACGACGCGATGACATGGCACCTCCGCCCCGTGACGTTGCTGACGTGACTCCCTCACCAAAATGACGTCGCTTTGGCATGACTGTGTTGGTGCTAAAAAACCTCAAAATGATATAGTTTTATTTGAGAAAAATTAGTAAATAACGTGTTTGAAGGGATTTGAACCCATAACCTTTTGAAATAAAAGTTAATACTTAACCACTATGGCAACTTAGCTTTTTTGATATAATTCTATAAACATAATATATATAACATGAGTCAGCATTTGAAAAGTTATTTTCTAAAAAAACCCCTGAAATTATTAAAATTTCAAAAAAAACACCTTAATTTCCATAAAATTTCAAAAAAAACTCCTAAATTCCTAAAAATTCAAAAAAAAAATTAGGGAGTAAATAACATAATATATTTGAAGAGTTTGATACATTGAACTTGTGTTATTGATTTAATTCCCTACGAAACATGTTATAAATGCTCATTTGGAGTCAATAACAGAAGTGTCATCAATAGTGTTTGTGTTTAAAGTATATTGAATAACATGAAAATCTTGAATGTTTATGTTGTTTTAATGATTCTAATTTAATTTTAATGTGTTAAAATTATTGGTAAAGTATTATAAGTGATTAGATTTAATTTTCCGATCATTAGGAGGGTTAATCTCGTGTTTTAAGTCGAAAACAATGTGTTGTTTGGAATTTGTTTTCTGCCCAGTTTTACAAAATGTGCAATTTAGTCCATGAACTGAAATTGTTTAAAATGACGTATAATTTCCGCTCCTTTTATTTTGAAAATTTGCAGAATGATTTTTAAGTTTAATTATAGTAGTTTACTGAAAGTTCCAAATTATTATGTAAACTTTATGATTTTTTGGGATTTTTAGGAATTTAGGAGTTTTTTTAGATTTTTTGGAATTTAATGTGTTTATTTGGGAATTTTAATAATTTCATGAGTTTTTGTAGAAAATAACTTTTCGAATGTTGACTCATATTATGTATATTATGTTTATAGAATTATATCAAAAAATTTAATTTGACATAGTGGTTAAGTATTAATTTTTATTTTAAAATGTTATGTGTTCAAATCCTTTCAAACACATTATTTACTAATTTTTCTCAAACAAAACTACGTCGTTTTGAGGTTTTTTTAACACCAACACAGTCATGTTAAAACGACGTCGTTTTGGTGAGGCAGCAACGTCACGGCGCGAAGGTGTCATGTCATCGTGCCGTTACGTCATTAACTACTGAGTGACATAATTGCAATTAAACTTAAACGTTAGTGTTAAAATTGACAAAATTAAAATATTACTAGTTTAAACGAACCCGAAAAATGGTGCTCTTAGAATAGATTTGGTTGGTACTTCCGGTGAAAGATACCACTTGATTCACTTCTATTCTGTTGTGTTCCGTTCTTTTCACACTTCACTGACACAAAAATATGAAAAAACATTAACCTTTGTTTCAGATTTACGCTTCCATATGCACCACTAACGATCTTTATTTATTTATTTATTTATTTCTTCTGTCTGTTTCCCAGAAATTTTTCATTTTTTTATAGTTTCCCTTTCCAAAGAGACAAATCCATCTTAAATCTCAATCTGGGTCCTCAAGCTTCAGCATCAGATCCTTTGCTTCCTATTCAGATTTGAACTCTGCCCTTTTCCCTCTTCCCTGTTTCTCTTTCAAAGAAATCACATGGACAAGAAAGTTTAAATCTTGATTTTATTGGATTTCGAAGATTGGGTTCTCTTCACTGGGAGCTTATACTACAATCCAGGTAACAAAAGGATTATTTTTTTAATTATATTATAATACTGTTTGATTTGTTTTAATTCGTTTTTATTCGAAATTTCGATACATTTATTGGATTTTTTTGGATGATAGGGTGAACTGGGTGTTAAATTCAACATCCAGCAAGTGAATTTCCTTTTATGAGCCACGATGGTGTTCAAATCTAAGATAAAATGGGTTGCATTATTTGTTTTGACTTTATCATTGGGATCGATGGTGGCTCATCTTTCAATGACAAAGTTTTCAAGTATGAATTTAGTCCAGTATAGCGCAAAAGATGCTCTGAGCCATGATTTCTCTAACATTTTATCTCCTGTAAGTCTTTTCAGATTTCGGATTCGGATTCCAAATGTTTTATCTGCATTTGTTTGCATGTGATTATGTCGATTTGATGATCTTTATTTTTGTTATTGTATGTTGAAGGGTGTCATAAATAAGAGGCTATGGGGTTCTGTCAGGTCTCTGGAATCTTTGCAGCCATATGCAAACCCAAGGAACAACTATCCCGGTATTCGATTTCGCTTAAACTTCTTAATTGTGTATTTATGCTTCAATATTGCAAAACTTTAATTTTTGATGTCCCTATCTTTTTCATTAAGGGGCTTTGTTGAATCCATAAAGTTTCAAAATGTAGTAATGATAGATCTTGTTGTGTAGCTGGTGATTCTTACTACAACTTGTACTTTAGACCATCTCTTCAGCCTTCTTAATTATCATGTTTCCTGGACCAACATCTGAACGAAAATTCATGGTTGATTGAGAGGAAGATGAGGAGTTTCATTTTGGTAATGAAGATGAATGATGCACATGGGTTTATCTTTGTTTGTTTAAGTTTAGGTCTATGACAAAACCGGAACATGATAGGGGCAGACAATCTAAAGAATTGCTAAAATTTTGTAACTATGATAATTGTTAATAGGTTTTCCATAAGAACAAGGAAAGGTTGAGATTTTGTACATATGTGTAATACAGAAAGAACTATCTCGAGATAAGTCTGTGTAATATGTTGTTTGGTTTTGTCCTTGATGCTTGATACTTGACTAGCCACTTATAGTTCTTTTAGTCTGTTAACTAGTGACTGATCATCTCTCTTTTAACAGTTCCAAATGAAAACAGTAATGGTTTCATCTATGCAAAAGTATTTGGAGGATTCGAGAAGATAAAATCTTCGGTACTATCTATTAGATCCATTAAAGTTATCTTTTTTATTATACCTTGTTGTCCATTTATAACATTTTCGTTAAATCTCTAGATCTGTGATCTTGTCACCATATCCAGGCTCCTAAATGCTACTCTTGTAATTCCAGAGATACAAGAAAGTACTCGTTCAAAACAAATCAGGTATGGCTGCTTCTGTTTTCGTAATTCATTATCTGGCCTAATATGATATATTCTTACCCTCTTTTGTTATTATACAGTTATAAGTTCAAGAGTTTTTCCTATCTTTACAACGAGGAGCATTTCATTGCATCACTTAAAAATGACGTGAATATCGTAAAAAGCCTACCTGAGCATTTCAAGGCTGCAAGAAGAAACAATGGCTTCCCTATTTACAAGCCCAAAAATTCAGCTTCTCCAAATTATTATATCAAAGAAATTTTACCAAAATTAAAGAAAGCCAAGGTTGTTGGGTTGATTATTACAGATGGAGCGTGCTTGCAGGTAATTCAAAGTCTTATAAGTGTACATTAATGTACATGCGGTTCACACTTTTTCTGAAACATTACACCTTTCAGTCAATTCTTCCACCGAGTATGTCCGAGTTTCAGAGGCTTAGATGCAGGGTTGCCTTTCATGCTCTCCAGTTTCGTCCTGAAATTCAGATCCTTGGCCGCCGAATGGTGGAGAGGTATAATTGCCACCGAGTAAAAAATATTACGAAAGTAATACATTGCTCGACCGAGATTTATCTGATTCATCGTGCTACTGATCTTCCATTTGTTAATGAGTCTGGAGCTGTAATTACACAAATATCATATGCCTGCTATTCATGAGTCCAAGCTCTTTTAACCTGCAGACTACGCGCGTGGGGACAACCTTTCCTAGCGTATCATCCTGGTTTAGTGAGGGACACCTTGGCATATCATGGCTGTGCTGAACTTTTCCAGGTCCATTGTTTACACCTCTTCTTTCTGACATCCTTGTCTAGTCCAAGTTGCATCATTTTTTCGGAAGCATAGTTAACAAAAGAATAAAGAGGAATTCGATTGACATATTTGTTTGGCTCTATGGAATTTTCATTTCACCTTGCAGTTTGATGCTTGTAGGATGTTCATACAGAGCTTATACAATACCGAAGGGCACAGATGATCAGGCAGGGGATCCTTACTGACGAACTAAAAGTTGACTCACACTTGCGCAGAGAAAATGGCTCGTGTCCTCTTATGCCTGAAGAGGTATGTGACAAATACAATTCACTGTCACCGCATACATATTCAGTGAAGATAAATGTTACGTAGGACAGGAGGAGAAATACAATGGAGAAAACTGAGGACTGAAAGAGATGGGAAACGGAAGCGAGAGAATGAGAGGGACACATATAAAGAGCAACTTGGAAAATATCATTATAACATTACCAAACTAGATTATTTATGGTTACAAAATATATTACCTTTAATTAATTAGGAAATCCAAACTAACCCTTTAAATTTATAGCCTAATAAGGGCTTAAGGTTAGTCTGTCATTGAGACAACATAAGGATGTCTAGTGACTGTAGCAATGAATTGTTGTGCTTCACTTATATTTGTCTATCCCTAACTTTTGCAGGTTGGACTTCTTCTTCTTGCTATGGGCTATCCTTCTAAAACAATTATATACTTGGCAGGTTCTCAAACTTTCGGTGGTCAACGTCTTCTGATCCCTCTACGTGCTATGTTTGCAAACTTGGTGGATCGGACTTCGTTGTGCAGCAAGACGGAGTTATCAGACTTGGTTGGTCCTGAAACACCTCTTCCTTCAGATACATTTAAAGTACCCCATCCAAAAAATGAGGCAGAACTTAAAGAAGAGTGGAATAAGGCTGGTCCACGGCCCCGGCCACTTCCTCCACCTCCTGAGAGGCGCATATATCCACATGAGAAAGAAGGCTGGTATGCTTGGATTACTGAGACTGACAAAGAACCAAGCCCGTCACCCATGGATCTTAGGAGACAAGCTCACCGGTTACTTTGGGATGCCCTTGATTATATAGTATCTGTGGAAGCAGATGCATTCTTTCCCGGTTTTAACAACGATGGTAGCGGATGGCCGGATTTCTCAGGGCTGGTTATGGGACAGAGGTTATACGAGAGGGCTTCTTCAAGAACTTATCGACCAGACAGGTTCGATATGCAGAAAGCTAAATTCATGATCTTCTTTTTTTGGGAATTAATAAAAGCACTTTTTAATGGCAATGAAGAGAATGTCTGATACTGTCTTTTGTATTTTCTTCGAACAGGAAAACTATTGCTGCACTTCTCAACAGTACCCATGATAATATGTACCATCCCATCCGTAATTGGACGCTCTCAGTTAAGGAACATCTCAACAGAAGTTTGAGCAAAGAAGGCCTCATCCGGCAATCACTGTTGTCAAAGCCAAACTCTTTCCTATCGCATCCACTTCCTGAGTGCGCTTGTAGAATTTCTTCTCTCGAAAACACGAAACCAGTAAAAGGCAAAGATGGCAGGGTTTTATATGGAGATGAACATGAGTGCCCCAAATGGATGCAGTCAAGTGGGGCTGTAGGGGTTAGAAACGACGACACTGAATCTGCTGAGGACGATACTGATGTGGTCGAACAGCAAGAACGTGATGATCCCGATTACACGAGTAGCATGATGTCACTGATCGATCGTGATGAAGAATGGGATCCTAATGACTAATTGGATTTACAGTCGACACATTCCTCTTTATACCATCAACCGAGGGAATCAAGCATACGTTGAAATTCTTCTGGACTGAATATTTTCAGAGACACAGGGTAACAACTGAAACCATGATTTTAATTCATAGTTCCTATATAATCTTTTTCAGACAAATAAGGTAGATTCATTCAAGCAACCAGTCATAGAAAGCCAATGAGTTATATTTATATGGCTTACACATCAAAGTTTTCTAACATAAGAACAGTGGAAACATAAGTTTATTTACCTTTTGTTTCTTTACTCTTGTTAAAAGAGTGTAAATCTGCATAGAGAAAGGATGTCAATTAGATGGTTCTGTTATGACAATTCTTTTATTATGGATTAATTGCATTTTTGTTCTTTTATAAATATGCATCTTGTCATTTCCATTAAAGAAGCAAAATGAATAATGAAATCAAATCTCTATACAAATCAACAAAATACTATAAATATTAAACTCTCTTCATTTTACCATATGTGATCTTCCATGCAACTTCATTCCTATGGTGATCTGTTTTTTCATGCATCTGCTCATTTTGAACGAGCAGCATACATGCTTTTCACCATGACATGATGCTTAGGAACAAGAATTATAAGATTTCTTTCTGCAAGTACATGATTGTGTTTGCTTATATTTATTATGCATTGATACATGGTGTCTTTTGGCGAGCAATGCTAGGGTCATAATAGATTTATTTCCTTAGCATGTCGAACAGCCCATCTATCGGTTATCGAGTTGATAGATAATAACAAGGAGTGTGGTAGGTGGTCGGAGATGCATCGTGAGAGTGTAGTGTCGGATCTACTTACTGAGAGGTCGTACGTGGGATAAAGGTCTGTTATTCCGTAACAATACCTCCGGTGCTGAAGGTATAACAAGACTAAAGAAGCTGAGAACAAGACTACTGAAATTGCTGTGTAATTACAGACATGGACGGACTGTGGTATACACTATAGTATGTGTTACATTTTCAGTTTTTCTTTCTAATAATACACATCAAATGTTCTCAAAGATCATATCTCCATCCCTCTGATGTGAAAATGACAGAAGTTTAGTGGAACTTAATAATTACAAGAATACAATAATAATGAATAATTCCAGTTAGCGGTACTGGGAACAATTGATCATTTTGATCTATCCTTAGAAGAGAACTTCATGAGATTTCAATGCTATGATAGTTCAGAAGATTTATATTTACATTATGGAATCATGTCTTTCAAAACTGAACCAGAATGCATCATGTAGCCACTTACCAATTCCACTAAAAGAGATTAAAATGACCATTAGTCAATAAATTATTACTGAAATATCTCAATTTAACCTCAATCAATGTAGTTACTCTTAAAACGTTTTTACCAAGTACTACTCTAAATCCTTGATTTCCACAATATATCCCATGGAAAATATTTGGCTAGTATATTTGGGTTGGTTTTGTGGTCAGGCCAGCCCCTAATGGGAAGAGGGGGTCATAATGTGGCAACTGATCAACAAAACCAGGTGAATGAAAGCTTGCCAGTAAAGCCATAATCTCCGAACAATACATCGGCTACGCCTTGACCCTCACCCTCACTTCCCGGAAGCCATGCTGCAACAAGAGCATCTATGGAGGCAAGATAAGGTTGGATCACAACAGGACGACCAGATACAACTACAACAACACATTTAACGGTTCCGCAAAGATTTGTAATTGTGCTTGGCCCTGGGTGAGGAATGGTCAGATTCAAACTGTCTCCTTGTGTCTCCATATGGATGCTGTCCTACTACAACAACGGCATATGGGAAATTGTTGGACTTGACAAACTCGGAATCGGGGTTTTCTTTGTATACAACTTCAGTACTTGAATCAACTGTGTTCTTGATGGCAGTGAGGATTGTAGTCCTTGTCCATGAAAAGGGCATTGTGTAGGCTTCTTTATCAAATCGAAACAAGACAATAAATGTAATTAATGGAAGAAGTATAGTAGTATTTTGTTACCACTTGAGTTTGTTTCCACTTAGTACCTGCCACTCAATTGTCCATCCACCACATTGGTAACCCAAATTATCTGCATGGCTACCAGCCACTAGTATTTTTGATGCCTGCTTAGGCAAGGGGAAGCAATGGAGCATCAGCAGATTCTCCGTTCTTTAACAGCATAAATGATTTTCTCACTAACAGCATAAATGATTTTCTCACTGCTTCCCTAGCCGATTCCCTGTGTTCCTGTTGAATTTGTAGGATAACATAGGAGTCAGGATACAAAAATCATCTTGGTATTGTAAAGCAACATGGCTAAATGGCTAACCTGACTTCCAAGATACTCAACCAAGCTTTCATCTGCTAGTGGGTTCTCAAACAGACCCATCATGAACTTAACTCGCAAAATTCTCTTCACCGCATCGTCGATACGGCTCATCGGAATGAAACTATTCTTCACCAGGTAGGTTAGTCCATCAATGAACTCTGTATAGTTGTATGGAACTATGATCATGTCAAGGCCAGCAGTGATTGCAGCTTGAATAGAATATGTGTAGTTAGCATGGGGTGGAGAACTATCCTATCAATACCCTGCCAGTCTGAGATGACAAAGCCCTGAAACAACTTCGAACATACATTAAACAACATGAAAAATGCTTTGAGTTCTTCGGTGTGGCTAACTAGAGGCGAAGATAACGAGATCGGTATCCTGAAACGAAGTGTTTTCTTAAGAAAGTTGGTGACCATGTCATGATTAGCGTGCATCTTAGCTCCATTCAAGGTTGAATAGGAGACCATGACTGTTGAAACACCTTTGATGATTGAAGTGTAATAGCCTGGCATATGAATGCTAAGCAAACCATGCATGTCAATCACTGTGTTGTTCTCATTGATTCCTTTGGTTGTTCCACCATCACCTACGTAGTGCTTTGCACAAGCAGCAACATTATTCCTGGATACCAAATGAGGGAAGAAAAGACAAAAATCAGCATTTTATATTACTTAAACATGCCTCAACAATGGGTTGAAAAACATGCTTACTTTCCAGCCACAAATGGAACACCCTTGGGAGAATTAGGAGAGATGTCTCCTTGTAACCCAGGTATAATCTCGGTCATAGCTTGAACGACCGCCAGATCTTCGCTGTAACTTTTGTAACATCGGCCCCATCTAGGATCTCTACATACCTGTCATAAATATAGTGGAATATTCACCGTGATACAAGGTGCAAAAGCATATTCATTCGGATGTTTAACTTGGCTCGGGAATATTTACCGCGATACAAGGTGCAAAGCATATTGGATGCCGGTAGCTCTGACTTCAAGAGCTGTTGCAGCTCCAATCCTCTTGACTAGTTCAGAATCCCTGGTTGAAAATCAATGTTAATTATAATTACTAGCTAGATTCTGAAACTTCACAAGGTTTCACCGAGTATTCGGACCTAGTAGCACCGAGACCGATGTTGTGAGGAAAAATTGTAGCATTCTAGACATTGCTGTGGCCATGAACGGCATCAATCCCATAAATCATTGGAATTCCTAATCTGGTTGACAATGCACCCCTTTGAAACTCATTGATCATGTTGATCCAGTCCTTTGGTGAAGCTTGTGGAGCTGGGACACTACCTCCTCCACTCAACAAACTACCTTTAAAAATCAAATTCATTCACCCTCGAGTCTTAGAGACGTCCATGGCCGGGGCGGTGTACTAGAAAGATTTTTTTTTATCGAAGTCCGAGTATATAGGATTACCGATGCAATATTTTCTCATCACCTCAGCTGTAGTGACATTACGTTCAATCTGGACCATCTGTCCAATTTTTTCCTCCAATGCCATCCTTCCGATCAAGTCTTTGATTCGAACATTCAACGGCTGTTTCGGATCTTTATATTTCATGTAATCGGTACTTGCATTTGCTGAAGCTGCCAAGCAACACCAAACCAGAATTCCCATAAAAAAGATGGGAACAATTCTTGGTCTTTCCATTCTAATGCTCCAATAATTTCCCTTCAAGAATGAAACAACAATAAGCAGATGCTCACTTAGAACTATAACAACATACAGGAAAATCCCAGAAATCCAATGAAAAGACTTGTTTGAAGATGGAAGACGAAAAGGGTGTGGTATTTATACAAGAATATTAGCTTAATTTTTGCATATGCAATTGCATTAACCATAGGAAAGAATAACAGAGATTCAAATTAGAGATGATGTGGCAGATAAGCAAACATTTATTTCACTTAACCATTTTTGGTTTCACACATCAGCTTTAATAGATTTGTTTAAGAATTTATATCCCTTAATTTTTGGCAAGATTTTAAAGCAAATCATACAATTAAAGGCAGTTTATGATTTGATTCTTTACGTGTTTTTATCACTAACTTCGGTTACTTTTTAAGAGATGATATCCGGTCGGCTTGTAATCCTTACTATAAGATGATGCTTTGTTGAGTCCTTCAACTATTGAAAGTTACAAAATGATTATTTGACTATAGGTGTTGATTTATAGAGTCTCTCGACTATTAAAAGTTACAAAAATGTCACATGACTATTTAGTATGTTCCAAACTAGTCATTTTCCATAAAAAATTTGACAACATTCTAAGCTGAATGTTAACTTGTTGACTGAGATATGATAATTTTTTTAGATTATGAGATTAGATTTTATTATATCTCAGTCATCAGGTTAACATTCAGCTCAGAATGTCGTCAATTTTTTTAACGGAAAAATGACGAGTTTGGAACATACTAAATAGTCATGTGACATTTTTGTAACTTTTAATAGTTGGGGAAATAGTCGAATGATCATTTTATAACTTTTAATAGTCAATGGATCCAAAAAATATTACTCTATAGTCGAAGGACTATTTGTGTACTTTACCCTTTATATTTTAGCATTCGCAACTTCTTATCAACGACTTATTTATGTTACAGAAAAATACTAAAGTCCCTTGTTATTTTACCAAATACTACCCGAAAGAAAACAGTGCTTACAATATATTTTTAGAAACTCTTACAGTTTTTTTTTTAAATTATAATTGCTACAATTTATACAGTTATTTATAATTAAGAATAATTTTGAATACTTCTATACTGTGTTATTAATTTTAGATTTTTATTTTTTTACTCCCCCTTACCTATTAAAATTGTTCTTTATTGACCATTCTATGGTCAAATTTTTTTAATTTTGACTTATTATTATTTTTATTATTAATAAAAAATATATGTTAAAATATTTAAATAAATAATTTTAAATATGTTTTATAAAATTTAATTATTTAAAATAACTATGATTAAATATAAAAAGTAACCATAAAAATTAAATGAGGGACAAATTTAGTGGGAGGAATATAATTTTAATGAAGTTCTTAGATTTTTTAGAAGGGTAAATTACATAAATGATTA